GCAGATTACCGCAGCATCTCAGACTTGCTCTCCAGCTTGGACTGGGAAAACATCCTCGATCATCACGATGTTGAGGTAGCCGCAAGAACGTTTTCACACATTTTGGCGTATACTATCGACAGACATGTCCCGAAGATAAGTCACCAGAAAACAGCTCATCATCCATGGCAGACTAAGGAGCTCCGTAGACTGCAATCTACTAAAAGAGCTGCACTACGCAAATACACCAAGTACCGTACGTTCCAATTAAAATGCTATTATGTTCGACTAAACCATCAATTCAAACGGATCAGTCGCCAAAGCTATTCGCGATATCAGCAGGGAATTCAGCGCAGGATGAGATCACATCCGAAATCCTTTTGGAACTATGTAAACGAGCAGCGAAAGGAATCCGGTCTTCCATCGTCCATGGTGTTCAATGGCGAAGTGGGATCCACAAATCAGGAGATTTGCCGACTCTTCTCTCTCAAATTTGCCGATGTTTTCACTGACGAGAGCCTATCTGACGATTATGTTAACCTCGCAGCAAGCAACGTTCCAATGCACGGCGATACATTAAATGGCATCGACATCAACGATATGACTATTTTAAGAGCTTCTTCCAAGCTGAAATCTTCTTGCAACCCTGGACCCGATGGAATCCCGTCCGTTTTTCTCAAGAAGAATATCGATTTTCTATTGACTCCGCTCTGTCACGTCACGTGACACACGTGTTCCAATTATCGCTTCGCTGTGGTATTTTTCCTTCTTGCTGGAAGTTTGCTCACATGTTTCCTGTTCACAAAAAAGGAAACAAACGAGATGTCAACAACTATCGTGGAATTACCTCACTGAGCACCGTATCGAAGCTTTTTGAACTAGTCATAATGGAACCGCTACTTTCTCACTGCAAGCATGTTTTGAGTGATGATCAGCATGGCTTCATGTCAGGTCGTTCCACCACCACCAATCTGCTATGCCTCACATCTTATGTAACTGATAGCATGGTTGACCGAGCTCAAACGGATGTGATTTATACCGATCTGTCAGCAGCGTTCGATAAGCTAAACCATGCTATTGCTATTGCTTAACTAGACAGACTTGGGATCAATGGTAACCTATTACAATGGTTTCGATCGTATGTAACCGGTCGCCCACTGATGGTTGCCATAGGCGATTACCGATCTGATACTTATCCTGCTACATCGGGGATACCCCAGGGTAGCCACCTTGGACCTTTGATCTTCCTGCTCTACTTCAACGATGTGAATTATGTGCTTGACGGACCTCGACTATCGTATGCTGACGATCTAAAAATCTACCTTCGGATTCGTTCCATTGCCGACTGTCACTTTCTTCAACGCCAGCTTCATGCTTTTGCTGACTGGTGCACCTTGAACCGAATGGAAGTTAACCCGGCGAAATGCTCAGTAATCTCCTTTTCTCGGATAAAAGAACCAATCATCTTCAACTACAACCTATTGGGTTCAGCAATTGAACGAGTGAGCCACGTGAAGGATTTGGGAGTCATTTTGGATTCGCAACTCACATATAAGAAGCATATTTCGTATGTCGTTGATAAAGCTTCCAGAACACTAGGCTTTATCTTTAGAATAACCAAAAACTTTACTGATATTTATTGCCTGAAGTCATTGTACTCCTCACTGGTCCGATCAGTCCTTGAATATTGCTCAGCAGTTTGGAATCCAAGCTACAAAAATGGTGTTGAAAGAGTCGAATCAGTCCAGCACCGATTCTTACGCTTCGCCCTTCGGCGATTGCCTTGGAGAGATCCTTTCCGTTTGCCTAGCTATGAAAGCCGATGTCAGCTGATTGGTTTGGAAACTCTTTCGACCCGAAGAGACGCTGCAAGGGCTTTACTTGTTGCCGATACATTGCAAGGGAGAATCGATTGTCCTACTATCCTCGAAAAAATCGATTTGAATGTACGACCACGTGCACTAAGAAACAGTCTTATGCTGAGACTTCCCTTTCGTCGCACGAACTACGGAATGAATGGAGCAATAAACGGACTGCAGCGAGTTTTCAATAGAGTTGCCTCAGTGTTCGATTTTCACGTACCACGTCAGACGCTTCGCCGTAGTTTCACCTCGATATTTTCGGGCACAGGTAACCGTGAATAGCAGTGTAATGTTTAAGTTTTAAGCACAGACAATCATGTTGTTTTTTGTATTACTTAACATCATTGGGGCTTATTGAAGCCTGTTGATGGAATCAATTAAATAAATAAATAAATGAAGAATACCGTTAAACGAGGGGAGATTGGTTTTCGCACTCTTGAACAGATCGGTTTGTTTTACTGCCCGCTAATAGCTGCCTGCTAATAGGTTATGGGCCCAGCTAGTAACCATCGCGACCGATCAACAAGCTGAAAAAAAAAATTAAAGATTCGATGGACCGGTTTGGAATTCCCAAGCTTAATGGAAGAAATTACGGAACCTATAAGAACATGCTCGAATTTCTGCTGATTTGAAACGGCGAGCGCTGTGAAAAATAAAAAGGAAAATGGCGAGATGCAGAAGGAACCGGATGGCTGAACGATGGTGCAATACGAGAAAAAAAAAAGACGAAAGACGAAAAAGAAGGAATGGATGGTTTGTCCTTCAAAAAAAGCTAAGTACAATAGTTTTGTGTTGCGTTAAATGTAGACGGTGGGTTTACTCGGGAATGGGATGCAGATTTTCCGGAAAAGCTGCAGCAATGTGGGTGACGATTCCTTGAATTTGGGTGGGATTTTGCTCTTTTTGCGCTTTTTGAGTGAACTGATATGAGCACACTGATAAAATTTCAAAGATTATTTTTATGTGTCCCACACATGAATTTTTGAAATGTGATCAACGAATTATATCTATTTGTCAGACGCATACTTAATACGTGTACACATAAAAGCCATGTGTAACCAAACATACTATTCTTTTGACTAATAAATTTTATGTGTGCTTCTGGGTGGATTCTGTTTATGTCTGGTCACATAAAAAATCATGTGGAAATTCGTCAATAAAAATGTGTGGAATTGTATTAGTGTAGCATTTTTGTCCGAGTATAGAATGGTAGAAATTGGTGAGACAACAACCAATTGAAGCGTTTGTTGTAATGCCATCTAGTGTCAATAAAAAAAAGTATAGGTGTAATGATAGTACACGACTAGAAAATGGTTCCCAGCGACCAGTTCACTTTTCCTTACTTTTGATAGTTTGTCTCCTTTTCTCCTTCTAATGTTGCCAAAAACAATGAAAATTAATGAAAATTTTGGGCCTACGGGAGAAGAGGTAGTAACATTATTTTCACTCCCGCGAGTTTTCCTCTCAATCAATAGAAGAAAAAAAAAAGATTAAACACAACATATTTCCTTCCTTTTAATTAGCTACGGGTGTGACAACGATGGCGAGTTCACTATGTTATATTTTCATTTTATTTCAGCAACCTTATCTTCCAGCAGATGATCCGGACAGCAATTTCAACATTAATAAAAAACTACATATGCCAGCAACACTGACTGGGTGTATCCTATGGCTTACCTTCCCTACTAACATAATTCCTAAATTCCCGAGACATATATGAGGGGTCGCATCTCTCTTAAGTAAATGTTGGACTAACATACCTTTCCTATCTCTACCAGTTGTAAGGACGTGGCCAGGACAATCCTTAACTGTTGGAGCGGGATATGTCTTTATCTGGGAGATAGTAATTAATTCCTACTTACTATCTGTCCAGTAATAGATATCCGTCTTGCTCTTAATAGTTTTGAATTCGTACCACCTACGATATTGTGCAACTTGTTCGATGCTAATGCTAATGCTAAAGAATACCGTTAAACGAGGGGAAGTTGATCGCTTTTTACAAATAAAACTGAATATTTGTCCAACCAAGTGTTTGACACACAATCGAATACCTTTCAAACATGTACTAGCAAGCTATTCTAATGTATGTTTGGTTTATTTTTTTAAATAAGAATTAGACTTAAACGACAAATTTCCAATCCTGGGGTGAAGGTGATCATGCAGATATTTATGCAATGCACTTTTCAGAAGTTAGCATTTATACTTGATTTGTTTTCACTGAAGAAGAATCTTTGGTTAACATTTAAATATAAGTTGTGGTTTACGATAATAAAAACTACGTATCAAACCAATGTTACTTCTAATAGGATTTTTAGGAACAGTTAAGATATGCAAATGGTATCACTTTCACAAAATTGTAGATGTAGAGTGGGATAATGCATCAAATATACTATTCTAAACTAGTTAATTAAATACAAATTTGCTTACAAAAATAATTGCTGAGAAACAGAAAATGAACGGTAAAGTGTTCAACTTAACCTCAACGATCAATGTTACTCCGTTTTACGGCTCTTTTAAACTTTGATAATACTGGCAGTGTTGGTTGGGAATATCAGAAAAATTCTAGAGAGAACTCCAAGATAATTATGAGCAGAGTTACAAGATATTTATGAGGTGAATTACAACAAGTCAATCGGAAATGAAACTCCCTGCAATCACTAATCGGGATAGGTGTTTCAAACTTTTTAATTTAGAAAAATGCGGATAGTTTTCTGTATCTGAAATTTTACAGAAAATCGACTGGAAAATCGCTGAGTATCAGGGAATTCATTTTGTCTTCATTGAGTTTACTCCTTGATTTTCTTCAGTCTCAATTTATGAATTCCTAATATTAGTTATTTGGCTATTTTGACACCCAATTCTTTTGAACATGATTTTCTTGATTGCATTTCATGGTTCGATGATTGCCTATAACCATAAAAGAAATGATAGCGAAATCATCTTGATATGACAAATTTAAGAAAACAATTCTCCTAGAATATACAGCCTTCATCGCATCGACCATTTTCGCCTGGTTTAAAGTATCTCATGAAACTCTATTGGCTTTATGGTTAACTTCAAAGGGATCTCCATGTTTCCGATCAGATTCTTGATGCCAATTTCATCTCTGATTTCATTTTTCCCGTACGGTAGCCCCCGTCACAATAAACCCATCCATACCTTCTGTTAATCAGCGCCACTGTCTCCCCACTGCAGCAACTAAATCGGCCGCAAACGTCTTCTCCATCACCGCCGCCACCACCGGGCGTACAGAGGTGAACCAGTTCCTCGACGGCATAGATCAGGAAATACCCGGCACAGAACATCACTTCTGCGTACTTGGGCAGCAGCAGCCGCACCTCGGGCAGCATATGAACCAAGGCGGTAGCCAGCAAAACGCCCGCTCCGAAGCACAGCAGAACGGTAATCAGCGTTGGTTTGCTCCGTTGTCTGGTCCAGTAGACGGGAATCAACCCGCACACCAAACTGCCCACTCCGAGAACGAAAATAGCCAACAGTTTGGTTCCGTCATCGTCCGAATCGTTCGCACTCGACCGAAGCACCGCTTCACTACCAGCAGCAGCAGCCATTCTCGCGATCTCAACCACACAGACTGACGTTTGTGTTTTGGATGAAAATCAACTTTTTCCTGTTTTGTGCTTTGTGGCTTCAGCTTTGTCCATATTTTATCACGCGTAATATTTAATCACCAAAAACTGGAAACCAGACTGGGCGTACAGCAACATCCAATCGAGACGTCGTCGGTGTCGATGTGTGGATGACGGGTCGAAAGAGAAGAAGCGATTATTTGTCCATTAGGGTCCGTCTGGGAGAATATTCGTGAACACGCGCGGCTCGCTGATGGTAGCATCCGAGATCGTGTTCCACGTGTTGCGATCGGAGGAAGACATGATCGCTACAATGCCATTTGGATTTCTGTAAGTTGGAGGTGTTTGCTAGTTGGTCCATCATTAACTAGCAGACCTTAAAATCGGACTTCGCTGCTGCACACTGTCTAATGAGAATAGACGTCAACAAGGTAAAGCTGTGTGTTTTATGCCACAGTGTGGTGTTTGAAAACATGGGAAAACCAGAGTTAACAGTCCAGTCCACAATGGGATTGTTGAAATGATGAAAATTGGTCAATTGAGTAATTGATAAAAAACGTTGCAGAAATAGAGTGACAACTGAATTGTGGTGTGTAATGGGAGAGAGAATTGTATTGTGTTTGAATAGATGATCCTAATGTTTTTTTTTAATTCGTCTGTGATGTTACGGTATGGTGCTGGTGATTTCAGCTTTGACCTTTTAAAAGTTGTTGCTGCTCACATGTGGTTGAATAATACGCCTCAAAAATTCTCGATATAAAAATATTCATATACACCTAAACATGGAAGATCATGGATTATCGAAGCGAAGTCAGATAAGATTCTTATTGCGTAATTGAAATACACATGCATCGTGGTGACGCAGGAAATTGGTTTTAAAGCACAACACACAGTGTTGTGATTAAAAAAACAACTGACATCAATGAATCGGTCACATTAATTTCAGGCGGTATCAAGATGTCGTCCAAATGGTACAGAAACCAGTTTTCGATAGTCTCGGCCGTCATCGACCCACTGCAGCAAATATCCTATTCATTTGAATATCACTGCTGCGAGCGAGCCGTTATGCATATATTTGGCATATTTTTTTTTATACAGGGGGAATCTGCTCACAGACACCTGAGAAAGTAACACAGGGTGTGGGGATGGGAGAATTGCACTCCCGACCCACTAAACCCTACATGTGCCCTTGGCCCCTCACCTCCCCCGAACCGCATGAAGGCATTACTTCGTGGGAGAGGCCTGTGCGCTATAGCGCTCCTCTAGCCGTACTCTAACGCTCTAGTCGGGCAGTAGTCAACTGCTGCTCGGCACGCTACACTCGTTGTAGTTCCGAAACTATGTGGGTGACCGTAGTCACCACCGCGCTCCAGTTATCGGTAGTACCACACATCTTAGGGACGATGTAATCCGGACTGGTGTCCGCTCCGCATATCGCTATCATAACGCTCATTACTGGCTCGAAGCGTGGACAGGCGAACATAACGTGCTCCGCCGTCTCTTCGACACCAGCGCACGCGGGGCAGGTGGGAGTACTTGCATGTCCGAACCTATGCAAGTAACTGCTAAAGCAGCCATGGCCTGACAGGAACTATGTCAGGTGGAAGTTTACTTCCCCATGGCGCCTATTGACCCAGCTTGATACGGAAGGTATCAAGCGGTAGGTCCACCTCCCCTTTGTGGAGTTTTCCCACTCCGACTGCCACCCGCGCGCGCGTTGTTGCGCACCCCTCGAACGCTCCTCGTGTCACAGCACTCCACATCCTCCTTGATGATGAGACCGATTGGCATCATGCGGGATTAAGCCCCCACAGCCGTAGACGCTCTCTTGCAGGCGTACTCGACGTGGCAGCCGAAGCTGAGCTTATCATCGAGCATAACCCCCAGGAGCTTCAGAGAGCGCACAGACCTAATTGTGCTCTCGCCAACTGTCAACGTCGCATGCTGCACCGACATGCGATTGTTGACTACGACCACCTCCGTCTTGTGGTGGGCAAGCTCCAGTTTCCTGCATCTCACCCATTCCTCCACAAGCTTAGCGGAGTGAGCCGCTGTCAGCTCTACCTCTTCGAGGGATTCCCCGTAGACTACCAGCGTGACATCGTAGGCAAAACCAACAATTTTCACGCCTACTGGGAATCTTATCCTCAACACTCCATCGTACATGACGTTCCATAACACCGGGCCCAGTATGGAGCTTTGTGGCACTCCTGCGGTGACTCTAACGCATTTTTCGCCATCTTCAGTGTCGTACTTCAACACACGATTCTGGAAGTAGCTTTCCAGAATCTTGTACAGCCCTCCGGGGATTCGGTGTTGGTGTAGCGAGCGGGCTATCGCCTCCCAGCACGCGCTGTTGAACGCGTTATTCACGTCTAGAGTTACCACCGCGCAGTAACGAATACCCCTTCGTTTCCGATGGACCACTTCTGTCGTCTGGATGACTTCCACCGTAGATTTGCCCTTGCGGAACCCGTACTGGCTGCTTGACAGGTCGTCTACACCTTCGGTGTAAGCCTACAGCCTGTTGAGGATGACCCTCTCAAGCAGTTTACCAGTGGTGTCCAGCAAACAGATGGGCCTATATGCTGACGGGTCCCCAGGGGGTTTTCCTGGCTTCGGGAGCAGCACCAGCCTCTGCCGCTTCCACGCATCTGGGTTTGTGCCTACGTCCAGACAGGTCTAAAATACAGACCTGAACATGCCTGGATTTTCTGCAACGGCCGCCCTCAGAGCCACAACCGGGATCCCATCCGGGCCCGTGGCCTTGTCCACCCCCAGCGACAACCAGCGATATATTTGGCATATGAACGTTTAGGATAGGTATGATCAGTGTTGGCTAAAATCAAGATCAGAAAATCAAAATTAGCTATCTGTCAAGATCAATATCACCTAAAATCACAGACACCAAAATCACAAGCCATCATCACCACGAAAATCACACGTGATTTTCGACCAATATCAGCCGTGATTTTCGATTCTCAAAATCAACCACCATCAATATCAACCAAGAGCAAAATCATCGAAAATCATAAGATTAGAAGATATGTTAAATTCTATAGTTTGAGGCATTCCGAAATTCAAGTCTACATTCCGGATGAAACTAAAATGGTGGATTTCAACTCAAGATGGCTTCCACAAATCCAAGATGGCGGACCAAAATCCAGTATGGCGGCCTCTAAACAGCGTATATACATCAAAACCCATGCAATATGGGTTTCTACGGAATGGGCTCGATAAGTGAAAGTGGACAATTGACATCCGCCGCCATTTTGGAATCCTTGTTGTCGTCTTCTCCTACATGTTTCGTTATTTCTGATGGATAGTTGCCTCGGTGTTTGATGGCGGAATGCTGATGCTCAGCAAAAAATAAGGAATATTACATGACATGTAAACCTAAACCATTTAAAATAACATCGTTTTAAACAATGTTTTAATTTAATTTTACATTAAAAATCATGCACATAATAATATCATGATAAAACTCATAAAATTACACGTTTATTCGATTAATTTTCTCTTGCAGTGCACAGTGGTCCAGAATGCAGATTTAGGTGGAATGATATGTTTTGAGCCTGAAATTGAAACTTTAGACTAAAAGTTTCTTCAACAAAGTTGTTCCTTATAGTTAGGCCCTCATTTTTATGACAATGAATTCTAGGGCGGTTCTTATTATCATTAAAATAAAAAATCTAACTTTTTTGTTTGAATAAATTAAGGTATACATTCTTGGACAAAGTTATAGTTGAGCTAATTTTAAGCAACATTGGTATAAACAACTTTTTTGTATCTCTTAAATTGGTCGATTTAGAGCTATTTTCTTGAATTGAGTAAGGGTGGCGCTAAAAAAACAGTTATTTTGATCTAGTTTTCTTATTTCAAATTTCTCAGCAAAGGTGTCTTGGAATGACTTTTAGATCTTTAGAAGGCGCAAATTTTTGTTGCAGAAAGTTTGTCAATAGCTTTCGCCTATCAAGAGTTAATGACGTTTTTGTACTAAAAATATGCTATTTTTAAATGTTAATATCTCTGGTTGGGGCAAACAAAAAAAAAGTTTTTTTACGGCATTTGAAAGGACGTATGTTATTCTCAATGTTCGAGCCGTGGGCTCTGTATTTGCCGGGATTCGGAGGTTTTTCTTCCCGTTCGTACCGCGAACGGCGCACAGAAACCAGAGGAGCACTTTAGCACCCGAAAAGTACTGCTGCTACTCCACCTTCCCAGTAGAAGATGTGAGTTAGCCAGTCAGTCACTTTCCACTAACGTTGGAGTCCGCGATTTTCACGTTAATTACGCACGGACACACGATTGATCAAAACCTGATCACACTGACGCGATAACATCGATTTCGGATCACAAGCAAAATTTCGATTTCCACTTCACTTTCCTTTAATTTATTGCAACCGACGGATGGTTGACGATCGAGGAATAGAAATTAAAGAACACCGACAATAGATGTGGTTGCGCACGCTTGGGGTATCTATTTGCTACTCGTATTGTGTGTACAATTCGGTTCGTTTGGTCAAGTGCAATGATTGACCATTGGAATGAGATCATTCTCTCTCGTGAGAATCGGTGATCATCTTCATTAGACTGGTTCACAATGTTAATTCATGTTTATATAAATTTAGTTGTAGTTTAGTTTAAGATCACTAGTTTTAAGATTTGACTTTAGTTTTAGCCTTAAGATTAGGATTAGGTATATACAATATTTACAAACATAGTTTTTATTATAATCAGTAGGTACTGATCATTCCGGCCACCTTGAAACAATCGCAATGTTTCAACATCCAGAACTCTCTGCTCTCGTCGCTGTGCTCTCCACTCTCTCCGTACGATCGGGCATCTTCGGCAGTACGATCCCGAAATCATGAATGAGCCATTCACCGTTGCGATGGTGATTGACGGACATTGATTCAGGTGTTGGCGAATCGTTGAGGACGACTGAATGGAGGATGGCACGAGGTTTCACGAAGTTGAGATCTGTGAACAACAAAAGACCCGGTAGATCGAACGGTTTGGTTTAAATTAATGGAACGCTAATCACCTGATTGCGCTCGATATGCGCATCGAGCTAGTTTCGGACTGCTCTACCGGTCTTTGTAGTTTCAGGAACTGATGCTACTTCGGCTGGTGGTCTTCCGTGGGGATTGGCAGGATTGCAATCTTCGCAACTGGTCTCACGACGCTGTTGGCATTTGCTGTCTTCATCGTGACGACGCGAACGGTCCCATCTTTGCCAGGGTCTAGCTGGGTGATTCTTCCGAGCGGCCATTGTGCAGGAGGAAGATTCTCATCCTTGATGACCACGATCTGTCCCACCTTGATAGGAACTGGTGCTTTGCAACCCTTTGCTGCTCGAGATTGGAGTTGAGCAAGGTACTCCGGATACCACCGGGCCCAAATGCGCTGGAATAGCTTCTGGGTGATTTGCCAGTGGTCGAGACGGTTGTCTGGCGTGTCGACGTAGCTTGGCTCCGGAACGGATTGTAGGTTCGAGCCAACCAAGAAATGGCCAGGCGTTAGAACTTCGAGGTCAGTAGGATCGCACGGAACTGGGGTCAGTGGTCTTGAATTGAGGCACATTTCAATCTGTGTTAGCAGCGTTGTCATGTCCTCTTGACGGATGCTGATGTGGCCGATTTCACGCAGGAGATGATGTTTGGCCGACTTCACTGCGGCTTCCCACAATCCTCCGAAGTGTGGGGCGCGTGGTGGAATGAACTTCCACTGGATTTGATTTTCGGCACACCAGGTCTGGATTTGAGCTCGGTCAGTTTCACTGGACTTCAACATCTCGTAGATGCGATGGAGTGCGTTAGCTGCTCCCTTGAACGCAGTGCCACTGTCCGAATGGAGTTCTCGAACAAGGCCACGGCGGGCGACGAATCTGCGAAGTGCAGCCAAGAAAGCTGGTGTGGACAAGTCCGTGACCAACTCGATGTGCACTGCCTTCGTTGAAAAGCATACGAAAATGACGATGTACGCTTTGGTTGGGCCACGATTCCTCACCGATGACTTCAGATACACTGGTCCACAGTAATCGACGCCGCTGATTGCGAATGGGCGTGATGGAGTCACACGAGATTTTGGAAGATCTGCTACGCTCTGCTGAATCAGGATTGGCTTGTTCCGGAAGCACTTGACACACTGGTGATACGTGTGCCGGACAAGATTTCTTCCACTGATGATCCAGTATTTTTGGCGCATGGTAGCGAGAATGAGTTGTGGACCGGCGTGCAGAAGAAACTTGTGGTAATAACCTGCTAGCAACTGTGCTAGTGGGTGTCTTGAGGATAGCACCATCGGGTACTTGACGGTATCTGGAACTTCAACGTTTGATAGACGTCCTCCTACACGGATGATTCCGTTGTCGTCGACATGTGGCTTCAACCATTTCAAGGGTGAGGACTTCAAGACGTCGTTACTTGTGGAAGTGGTAAGCTCAGCTAGCTCTTCCGAGTAGAGTTGCGAGTGAGCAAGTCGAATTAGCGTGTGATCGGCGACTACGAGATCAGCTGTCGTGAGAATGATGTTCGATGATTTGGTGGACTTACGTACTGTGGCTTGCAATGCCTTGATATACTTCATGCAGTACGCTACTACACGGCGAAGAGTTGTGTAGTTAGAGAAACGAGCGAATAGCTGATTTGCAAACTGTTCGTCAGGAGCATTGAGCGATATCAAAGTTACCTTCCGAGCTTCTTCGATGACGGTAATGTACTCTTCTTCTGGAACATTCGAGACAGGCCAGTGCGCAGGAAATTCCCGCAACCACTTCGGTCCGTTCCACCATCTGGACTGATTGACTAAGTCTGCGGGCTGCAATCCTCGAGATAGTTCGTCGGCTGGGTTTTCTACTCCTGGGACATGTCTCCAAGCAGCAATTTCAGTGTTGGATTGGATGGTGGAAACACGATTCGCAACGAATGTTTTCCAACGATTCGGCGGTGACTGCAACCATTGAATGACTGTGGTTGAGTCTGTCCAGAAGTAGACATCGGTAGATAACTTGATTGCGTGTTCAACCTTCTGATACAGCTTCGTGGAAAGAACGGCTGCACACAACTCAAGTCTTGCGATAGTGTGTTTCGTGGCAAGGGGTGCCACCTTTGACTTCGATGTCAGCAATTGAACCTTTACTTGGTCGTTGTTCAACGAGCGGATGAAGCAGCATGCTCCGTAGGCAGCGTCAGATGCATCGCAAAAGAAGTGCAACTCAACCTTGGAAACGGAGGCCAAAGATACGAAGCGTGGAATTCTGATGTCAGCCAGGATGGGAAGCGTAGCATGGAATTGCTTCCACTCATCCTGTAGCTTCTGCGGGAGCGGGCGGTCCCATTCGTAGGGTGCGTTGTCTTCGTTCTTTAGTTTCCAAAGTCGCTGCATGAACAATTTGGCAGTGGCTATAGTGGGTCCAACGAGGCCTAACGGATCGAAAATCTTGGCAATGTACGAGATTACCTTTCTTTTCGTAAGAATCGGTGCTGGTAGCGGAAGATCGACGTTGAAACGGAGCATATCCGTCTTCGTATCCCATACAAGGCCAAGCGTGGATACTGACTGGTCATCTTGCAGATCATGGAAAGGTTTGATCGCCAGATCTTCAGGCGGGATGTCAGCCAAAGCTTCAGGAACGTTGGAAGCCCACTTCTTCAGCGGTAGACCAGCCGATGCGAGCATGGCAGATATTTGACGACGTTTTTCTATGGCAGACTCCAAGTTGTCTGCGCCAGTAAGGAGATCATCGACGTAAAAATCTTCGACGACAGCTTCTACTGCTTCCGGGTAAATGTCTCCTTCGTCTTTCGCTAGCTGCTGCAGTGTACGTGTTGCCAAGAACGGGGCGGAGGATGTTCCATACGTAACCGTGAGGAGCTCGTATGTGTTGATTGGATCTGATGGCCTTCGACGAAATAGAATGCGTAGGAAATGTTGGTCAGCAGGATAGTGGAAAATCTGACGGTACATTTTCTCTACGTCAGCCACAATGGCAACAACGTGAAAACGGAAGCGGATGATGATGGTGTCGAGATTCTGCTGCACAACTGGGCCGACGAGGAGTATATCGTTGAGTGACATTCCGGAGGAGGTCTTACAGGAAGCGTCGAACACCACGCGTACCTTTGTGGTGGTGCTGCTCTCCTTGAATACCGGGTGATGCGGCAGATAACAATGTGGAACTTCGTCGTCAACAGAATCGAGTTTGCGCATATGATCGAGGCGGAGGTATTCTTCCACAAAATCGTGGTAGGCTTTCTTCAAGGCAGGATCTCGTTCAAGGCGGCGCTCAAGGCTGTAGAAGCGGCGTGTGGCAATTTCTCGGGACTCTCCGAGTGTGACTTGCGGATCTTCGGACCGAGGAAGGCGTACAACGTACCTTCCATCGTGAGTTCGAGTGGTAGTAGTGGCATAGATCTCTTCGCACAGTTTCTCTTCTGAGGAATGCGTCGGGCCATTATCGACGGCTTCAAGCTCCCAGAAACGTTGAAGCGCTGATTCGAGGGATCGGTCGGTGGTTGATATGTAGCATGCTGGTGGTGCAACAGCGGAATTGGTGGACGTTTTCCCAGAAACTGCCCACCCGAAGTGTGTTTCGACCAGCAATGGTAGACCGTTCCCGAGTGCTGTGCGGTTACCGGTGTGGATTTCGTGGTAGCATTCCCCACCGATGATGATATCGATCATGCCCGGAATATTGAAGTGCGGATCAGCAAGTGGAACGCTTGGTAAGTTCCACGCAGCTGTGTTGATGGCGATAGTTGGAAGATTGGCAGATGGTTTCTTCATTACGAGAAATTCGAGTGTGGAGGAAAAGGTGTTCGTTTTCGATTTGATCGTAGCCGTGATTTGACGTTTGATCTGCTTGACGGATTCTCCTAGTCCTGATACAGCGACGTCTACTGCAGTACGCTGCGTGACAAGAGCGTTTGCCAGCCGCTTGGTGATGAAATTGGACATCGATGCAGAATCTAGGAGCGCTCGTACGGTGAATTCCTTGCCGTGTTGATCGACGACGATTAGAACAACCGTTTCCAGTAGGACCGTGCTGTGGTTCGATTGGATAGCCATGCTAACTTCTGGTGGATGCGCTGATCCAGAGGTCCCCGCGTGCGCTGACGTGGATGGAGCTGGTTGTTGCATAGGAGGATTCGAAGGTACGGCAGGAGTTGTCTTCTTCGGAGCTGCGTCGTGCAGCGAGGTGTGATGTCTGGCTTGGCAGGTTCTGCAACTAAATTTGGATTTGCAGGCCCGCGCTTGATGACCAGAACGAAAGCAGTTCCAACACAAGCTTCGCTGGGTTACCAACTCTCGTCGTTGGGATACGGACAGCTTGTTGAATGTTGAACACTGGTGTAGCAGATGCTGCTCGGAACATGCAGGGCAATGAAGAGTGTTCGACTTGACTTCACTTGTAGCAGCATTGACAACGGACTTGAATGTGGACAATTTCTTCGGGTTTGGACCGGCCACCTTGATGCTAGTCCCTTGAGAGCGATGTTGTAGATCGCTTGATACGGACTTCAGCATTCGAACTTGCTGGATAAGGAATTCAAACAACTCATCGTAGCTTACGTCGTCCTTCTGACGCGTTTCCTGTTCCCAAGAACGTAACGTAGATGCGTCGAGCTTATTGCAGAGGATGAAGGTGAGAGGAGTGTTCCAGTGCTTAACTGGTTCACCGAGCTTTCCTAACGCTTTCACGTGCCGCTGGAATTCGTCGACCAATGTGTTTAGCTCCTGTGCTGATTCACGCTTGATTGGTGGTAGTTCGAACAGTCCTCGAAATAACTCCTTCCTCAGGAACCGCTTGTTGTCGTAGCGCTTCATCAATGCGTCCCACGTAGACGCATAATTGTCCGCCTGAATGTCAACGCTTTCAAACGGCTTCTTTGCTTCTCCCTCCAACGATTGCAGCAGATATTGGAGTTTGTTGACGGTCGGAATGTCCTCGTTGCTGTGGATCATCGACAGAAAGTTGTCCCGGAACGATATCCACCTTGATTCATCCCCGCTGAACTTCGGCAGATCGATCTTCGGCAGCCGATGGTGAAAACTCGATGATGTGTGGTGAGCGAAGGTGTTGATCATCGTCGAATTTAATGGAGGCTGGCCGTTGTCCATCTTGGAGAGTAGAAATCCCTTCAACACGCAGTACCGATTTTCGAATCCGGTGCGTACCTCGATGTGATCCTCGAACTGATCGACGTCTAATTTCTCTATCTCCCCTTGGATCTGTTGAAATTCCTTGTTGACCTTGTCCAAGGTTTCCAACCGAACCGATACTTGGTTGGCGTCCCGCTCATGGTCGTACTCCGCCACGAACTTTTCCACCACATCTCGTATCGCCAACACCCGCTTAAGGATCAGGATGTTTCCTTCCAGCTTCTTTTCCGCCTTGTTTGCCATCTTACTCACCACTCGAATCACGCGCGAGAACGGAAACGACACTTTTATCTCGTAACGATTGCTCCTTCCCGACGCGACGTGCCGTTTCTACACGAACCGAAACGAAAACAGCACAGAATCGAACGAATTTATCCTTCCCGGCGCGATGTACTGTTCAAACGCGATCAATACGACGGAAGTACCACGAAATTCGATCGATATAATCCTTCCCGTCGCGTCGTGATACTTCTACACGAACGCGAACGACCGAAAAGGACACGTGAAATCGATACAATCAATCCTTCCCGTCACGACGTGCCCTTTTTACGATACGCGTGTCCGCTAAAACGCCACAAATATCGCAAAATGTGCCTTGGACGAATTGATCATTCACCGTTTTCTGTTGTTGATTTCCACCACCCAGTACGGTGTACTAATTCCAATGCGCGCCACTGTATGCGCAAGTGCAATTGATAAAACTGGCAATCAATTTGCCAATCAGCCACCAACGATAATCAATTTGCAAAAAAACGTTAATTCTGCCGCCTCTGCCTAGCAAGCCTTATGCGCTTCGATCAATCGGATCGGTCATGCGATGTTGTCATGCAATATTCGATTATGCCGCCATTCCTTGCCTCCTTATATCGGCGCGAAATATTGGCGTTGGCCGTGCGAGAAAAGGCCCAAACTTTCTGCACAAAACACCAATAGTAGAATGAATGGCCTACCTTTGTGTGATCAATGCCTTTTGACCACTTACCGCGATGGCGCTAACTTGCCTACGACGCTGATTCCTGGCTTGGGTATGTCCTCCGATCCGGCTCGAAGGACCAATGTTCGAGCCGTGGGCTCTGTATTTGCCGGGATTCGGAGGTTTTTCTTCCCGTTCGTACCGCGAACGGCGCACAGAAACCAGAGGAGCACTTTAGCACCCGAAAAGTACTGCTGCTACTCCACCTTCCCAGTAGAAGATGTGAGTTAGCCAGTCAGTCACTTTCCACTAACGTTGGAGTCCGCGATTTTCACGTTAATTACGCACGGACACACGATTGATCAAAACCTGATCACACTGACGCGATAACATCGATTTCGGATCACAAGCAAAATTTCGATTTCCACTTCACTTTCCTTTAATTTATTGCAACCGACGGATGGTTGACGATCGAGGAATAGAAATTAAAGAACACCGACAATAGATGTGGTTGCGCACGCTTGGGGTATCTATTTGCTACTCGTATTGTGTGTACAATTCGGTTCGTTTGGTCAAGTGCAATGATTGACCATTGGAATGAGATCATTCTCTCTCGTGAGAATCGGTGATCATCTTCATTAGACTGGTTCACAATGTTAATTCATGTTTATATAAATTTAGTTGTAGTTTAGTTTAAGATCACTAGTTTTAAGATTTGACTTTAGTTTTAGCCTTAAGATTAGGATTAGGTATATACAATATTTACAAACATAGTTTTTATTATAATCAGTAGGTACTGATCACTCAATAATATGAAAAAAATGGAGGTATGTTATTTTTTAAACTCGTATAAAATCAATTTGAAATTATTCATATTTTTAACTAAATTTGGGTATATCTTTTTTATTAGAAGAGATAAAGACAACATATTTCGCTATAAAACATTTGCCTTAAAGATTTTTAAAAGTCTCTAGAAGATGACTTTCATGAGAAATTTCAAATAAAAAAGTTATTGATTAAAGATGGATGTCATAGGACCACTCTAGGGACAAATTTAAATAAAATGTGCTAGTACATTTGTTTCAATATTTGGACATTTAGTGTCTTTGAAGAAGTTTTTGTTCTTAAAAGTCCCCTTCTTTTGGTGTTTGCAAACGTCAGGGTGGTCCTCAAATTAAGGAATTTTTAAAACTAACTTTTTTGTTTTACAAAATAAAAACATGTGTTGTTTGAAAAAGTTGTAGTTAAAATGATTGCAAGCAACTTTGCCGAAGAAAATTTTTTTCTAACTCTTAACGTTCTCATTTTAGAGTAATTTTTAGGAGTTGACTTTGGGATTTCCTGGAAATAATAGTTTTTTAGCACTAACATTTTTATTTAAAATTTCTCATGAAAGTCATCTGCAAGAGACTTTTAAAACTCTTTAAGGCGAATATTTTATAGCAAAATTTGTTGTCTGTATCTCTTCTAATAAAAAAGATATACCCAAATTTATTAAAAAATATGAATAATTTCAAATTGATTTTATACGAGTTTAAAAAATAACATACCTCCAATTTTTTTCATATTATTGAGAATGACATACGTCCTTTCAAATGCCGTAAAAAAACTTTTTTTTTGTTTGCCCCAACCAGAGATATTAACATTTAAAAATTTCATATTAATAGCTCTAAATTGGTCAATTTAAGAGATACAAAAAAGTTGTTTTCAACAAAGTTGCTTGAAATTAGCTCAGCTATAACTTTGTCCAAGAATGTATACCTTAATTTATTCAAACAAAAAAGTTAGATTTTTGATTTTAATGATAATAAGGACCACCCTAGAATTCATTGTCATAAAAATGAGGGTTTAACTATAAGGAATAACTTTGTAGAAGAGACTTTTAGTCTAAAGTTTCAATTTCAGGCTCAAAACATATCATTCCACCTAAATCTGCATTCTGGACCACTGTGTAGTGTAATATCACCACGTGATGTAAGAACTTATCGAAGAACATCGGATTTTCAACGATAAAACCTATAAATTTACATGCTTGTGTAAATTTAAATCAACAAACATTGAGAAAGCTAAGATGGCGGACGGACCGATTATTCGATCAGTTTTTTTTTCCGCTCGGTTTGTTTTGTTTTGTGCGCTCTGTTTTTGGTTATGTGGAACGATTTATCGTGCATATGCGCGTCCACAAATAGAAAATGGATGACAGACAAAATATTGATTAAAGCGGTTTTATACAGAGAGCACTTTTAGTTCGTGCAAAAAATCATAGAGAAATAGAAAGACATTCAAATATGCGCTCGTGGTTCGTGTAGCGGTGGAAGTGTAGGGTATGTACTATGCTGTGAAGGTTGGTTATTCCACGTAGGTGATAATTCCGCGTACTTGGCAATCAGTTCGATTTTATGCAAATTCGTTCAAAAAGCCAAATGCGTGTAATTCTAAATTTCCTGTAGTTTCCAGAGGCGAACCAGCCTTTAGGCTGAAAACCTCTTAAATCAGGCATAACATTTGATAACGGCACAAAAGCATTTGTAAACAAAATTTCTAAGGCCCTTTACACGCGAATCAAAGTACGCCCACGCAAACCAATATCACTTTCGGAAAGGTGATAGTTGCCCCTATCCGATGATGTTGTTGGTTTGCGTGGGCTTACTTTGGTTCACGTGCAAAGGGCCTTAGAAAGTTTTTTTTTTCAAATGCTTTTGTGCCGTTATCAAATGTTATGCCTGAAATAAAGAAAAATAAATAAATAAATAAATGTCCTGTAGAATTAATCATTTTGTCAAGCTTCTGCATCCATGTTCCATCAGATGTCACTTTTGTTGTTTGTGGTGACATCTATCGGAAACTACACACAATATGTTTTCCTATAATTGTTCACAAAGGACACTGCAGTGCAAAACATGTCGGGTACCTCTATACATGCATTTAGATTAATGTTCGAAGTCCCTCCTTTTTTACACATTCTGCACACCAAATAGATCACCCCTCACAGAATTTCCCGCCAATTTTTATGAATGGGGCGGGGCATAAAGTATATTTTGCGCAGAATATATAAAAAAGGAGGGACTTCAAATGTTAAACTAAATGCATATATAGAGGTACCAGACGTGTTTTGTAGAGTCAGGTACTCTATTTTGTAATCTGTGAAAGGGAAATCACAAATCGAGTGTCATAAAAATACATTGAATGTTGAGAGATTGAGGTCGTTGCACTTTCAGGAAAAATATCAACAGTCTTACTCTCATTTTAGTTATGCTGAAATGACGAACTTTTCTTGAAATACCTCGCATCAACTTTTGGAAACTTTGTTTGTCAACTTGAGCGGCCATTTTATTCCACCATCCCTTCATCTCTGCAGAATCCCGAGTCACTTTTCCAGTCTTCTTCAGCTTCCGCTTAACAATTGCCAAATATTTCTCGATTGGGCGAAATTGAGGGCAATTGGGTGAGTTGAGGTATTTTTCGATGAAATCACGGTGCCATGGTTGTCACGGTACCACTGAAGTGTCTCTCGACTGTAGTGGTAGCTAGCCACATCTGACCAAAACTTTACAGGGCCTTTGTGTGCTCTGATGAAAGGTAGAATGCGTTTTTTTAGGCACTCTACCTTGTAGAGCTTCGAGTTCATAGACTCATTTGTAACGAACGAATTTACATTTGTTGGGGACATCTCCCGAGCCGTGGACACATACAACTTTTGCCCGGGAAGCAGCCCAAAGTCCATCTTTACATACGTTTCGTCGTTCATCAGTATGCATCCTGGGTTGCGAGCGCGTGTTTTGGCCATTCAGATCTGTTTCAGTGTCCGGTTTGGCTGCTTGCTGGCACGATAAGAACAAAAGCCTTCGCGTAGATGGATCTACCGGCCGGTGCTTTTGTTGACAATGTCACCATAAGAGAATCTTAGGATTGCTCTAATTGTTCTCAATACCTCCCAGTTGTCGATCGTAAGTTCCACTACGAGGCTTACGGAAATATTTGAGGACACTGTACACGGTAGATTTCAACGATTTCGCAATTTTTGAACCTGACCACGTTGGATTTTGAACGTGGGTGTCTAAAATTAATTTCTTTCTTTCGACTTCCATCAGCCACAACTTTTTAAAATCTTAACGAATCGTAACCAAACTTTTACCACTGAAAGAGGAGAGCTATCCAAGCAATCTGCTGTCAAAATATTCGCCAATCGACCACTACTATCACTGTAAAAAAAAATAAGCAGTGCATCCAGATTTTAAGTGAATCGAGCTTCAATTCCTCGGAACTTCTTTAAATTTTCAGAAACTAATGGATCTGGTCTGAAGTTCGCTGATCGTCCTCTAAATATTCT